TATAATGCAGGATGGCATACACAATCAAAGATAAAGTATTTTCATGAATAAATACAATTTATTTTAACTCCTATTATGCATGATTAATATAAATTAAAATAGCATAAATTAAGTAGCTATTTTCAAAGAATTATTAATATTTTATAAATACAATTTATTTGTTTAAAAAGTAATAGATATATAAATTAATTTATTATAAATATGAATATGTCAGATGAAAATCTTATGAGCGAAGTAAATTCAACTAATTGGAAAGAATAAACAATAGTAAAGGAATTTGACTATTATAACAAAAATAAATACATGGTTGAGAAAACTAAAATTGAAATAAAATTTACATCAGATCATTAAATCATTTATTTAAAAAATGAAGCTATCCTCAGAGTGTAAATCTTTCTTATATCAAAGAGAGAATAGCTTTATGTACTAAATTATCCTTAAATATTAAATAATGTGGAACAAATCTAAAGTCTTACTTGGAATGGTTAATTTGATTTGAAAAAAAAGAAGGAAGGGAAATGTATTGCATCTTGGAATGGCAAAGTTATAATGAATGTTGGTGGATATTATAAGAATGGCTTAAAGCAAGGTTTATGGCTAGAGCTATTCAAAAATTATTGGAGGTAGTTTTATCTTGATTTTATGTTACAAATAATAAGGCTCAAACTTATGAAACAGGAGAATATTAGAAGGATTTAAGAATAGCCAAATGGAATTACTTTTATGAAAATAAGATAGTGTGTTTTTTATCATTATTTTAGAGGTGGTGGGCTATACAACAATGAAGGCAAGAAAACAGGCAAATGGATCGAGTTAGATGAAAGGTTTTAACTCTACAAATAAGTAATTTTTACTGGTGAATATAATATGAAAGGTAGGTAGATGGGAAATTATGTATTGTGATTATTGGAGGGAATATAAATATATGTAAATAAATTTTAAAGTATAAGAAACATTAAAGATTTACGCCGTATTTTTATAGGTGGTGGATCATACAATAAAGAAGGAAATTAGAAAAAGAGTGGAAAGTGGGTAGAATTGGATGAAAAGTTTTATGATGGAGAGTCCACTTTAAAATAAGTAACTCATAAAGGTGAATATAATATGAAAGGTATGAAGGTAAGTAGATGGGATATTATGTATTGTGAATGGGGAGAATATTAATATAAATAAATGTAAATTTTAAATATAAGGAATATAGTGGTGGTGGATCATATGATTAAGAAGGAAATTAGAAAAAGATTGGAAAGTGGGTAGAACTGGATGAAAATTTTTATTATTGGAAATAAATTACTTATAATGGTGAATATAATATGAATGGTATTAAAATAGGTTGCTGGGATTTTATGTATGATAGTAGAGACGGAAAAGGATATAAATAAATGTAATATGCCATACTAATGATTATAGCGGTGGTGGATCATATGATTAAGAAGGAAATTAGAAAAAGATTGGAAAGTGGGTAGAACTGGATGAAGGATTTAATGAT